GGTCCGGTCCGGTCCACCGGGTTTCGGTCTGGACCGGTGAACCGGTTAGATTTTATTTTTTTTAAATATTTTTTTCTATATAAGTTTATAATATTGTATTTTTTAAGGTTTTTTTATTATACTTAAAATTAGTTTAACTTTAATGCTAAATTTTTTTTAAATGTTTTGATTTTATTATTTAATATAATTTTTTAAATACATTTCAATTCAAAATAAGATACCAATTGTAATGCTTTTTAAATATTCTTAATATTAAAAGTGTGAAAAAGTAAACATTACCTTTATATTAGCGATCTCATGCATTTCAAATTTATGTACCAATACTATAACTTAAATTTGTACTTTATCAATAATAAAACTCTAATCCGTAGAACAAACATTGTAAACAATTTCATGAACAAAAATAGTAAAAAATGCATCTGTTTGTCAAAATAAATTGAAAACTCAAAAAAATATTACAAAAAAACAAAAAATGTACTAAGAAGAAGAATATTCCCTATGCAAAATAAAAATTATGAACAAATTTTATGTAATACGGATGGAAGATATATATTTTATTTAAAGTTTTTCAAAAAAATTCAAAACAATTTTGTTTGATAATGTTTAGTGTATGCTACAATTAAAAATTAGTTGTAGTAATATTTTTATTCAATTGAATACTTTAAATTAAATGAATAAAATCAAATTTAAAAAAAATTAAAAGTAAGATTTATTCAGTCCAGTCCCGGTCCGGTCCGGGTTTTACTGGTCCGGTCCGGGGCCGATCCTTAGCTTAATCGGTCCGGTCCTCGGTCCACCAAATGCTCCTTATTCGGTCTCGGTCCGTGTCCCGGTCCGGGCCGGTCCAGTCCGGGTTTGCCCCGATGAACACCCCTAGGTGTAACAATGTCGTGGTGTCAAATTAGACACCCTCATATAAATAACACCTCAATACCTGCATTTCACATTTCAGGACATTAAAGAAATGGACCATGCTAGGGTGCCACCACATGGGTGCAACCATGGGTGCACCCATGATAGCACCCATGTGGTGGCACCCTAGCATTTTCTTTAAAAAATATGGTTCACTATATTTGTTTAACTTAGGGCAGTATATTTACAAAAGATTACTCATGTAATATCTTAGGTCAATGGGCAAGTATTAATTACACTCTAAAAGAGAGGGATTAGTCCGTCCTTTTTTATCTCAATTTTATAAGAATTAAGCTATTGGTATACCAAAACTTATACCTCACTATGTACCCTAAAAACATGCATCAACATTTTGTGCTTGTGCTATTAGTGTGTAATAGTTTACACCGATACAAAATGTCAAGGCAATTTTTTTGATTAAACTCGTATTTTGTGACAGTGTGAACTATTAAAATTCTGGTGCATCCCATTGAGGTAGAATTTAGGTTAGACTTCTTCGGGTACCCCTATGTTGGGACTCCGCGTGCCCTCATCCCAACCCCGCATTAGTATGATATTGTCCGCTCTGGGCCAAGCCCTCACGGATTTGTTTTTGGGCACCTCCCAAAAGGCCTCATACTAATGGGGTTGGGTGAACCTATATATTTTGGTCTATTTTTTCTTCTCCCTCCGGTGTGGGACTTGGAGGAATCCCCAACAAACCTCCCCTAAACCAAGGACCACACAATTTCCGACCTCCCCTCCAGCGGTAATCCATTTTTCCTTTTTATCTGCTAACCATCTTGCACCGCCGCACACTCTTTGCGGGACACGCCGCCCGACCTCCTGTCAGGAAGACTTTCGACGCAAGGCTCGAACCGCAGATCTTTCCTTCGCTGGGCTACACCATTTGATCCGCCAAATCATCTTATACCGCCGTGACTATAACTTCACGGGATGCGCCACCCGACCTCCTCTCGTCGGGAAGACTTTCGACACAAGGCACCACCTGCCGATCCTCTTTCTTGGTCTTGGTCCTAGTTACACCGTCACACTGAGATTTTTCCACACTGCACAGTCCGCTAATCCCGCCCGCAAGAACCTGGGCTCCGATACCACATGTTGGGACTGCGCGTGCCCTCATCCCAACCCCGCATTAGTATGATATTGTCCGCTCTGGGCCAAGCCCTCACTGCACAGTCCGCTACTCCCGCCCGCAAGAAGCTAGGCTCCGATACCACATGTTGGGACTGCGCAGCCCCCCTCCAGCGGTAATCCATTTTTCCTTTTTATCAGCTAACCATCTTGCACCACCGCACACTCTTTGCGGGACACGCCGCCCGACCTCCTATCGGGAAGACTTTCGACGCAAGGCTCGAACCGTAGATCTTTCCTTCGCTGGGCTACACCATTTGATCCGCCAAATCATCTTGTACCGCCGTGACTATAACTTCACGGGACGCGCCACCCGACCTCCTTTCGTTGGGAAGACTTTCGACACAAGGCACCACGTGCCGATCCTCTTTCTTGGTCTTGGTCCTAGTTACACCGTCACACCGAGATTTTTCCACACTGCACAGTCCGCTATTCCCGCCCGCAAGAACCTGGGCTCTGATACCACATGTTGGGACTGCGCGTGCTTTCATCCCAACCCCGCATTAGTATGATATTGTCCGCTCTGGGTCAAGCCCTCACGGATTTGTTTTTGGGCACCTCCCAAAAGGCCTCATACTAATGGGGTTGGGTGAACCTATATATTTTGGTCTATTTTTTCTTCTCCCTCCGGTGTGGGACTTGGAGGAATTCCCAACAAACCTCCCCTCAACCAAGGACCACACAATTTCCGACCTCCCCTCCAGCGGTAATCCATTTTTCCTTTTTATCTGCTAACCATCTTGCACCGCCGCACACTCTTTGCGGGACACGCCGCCCGACCTCCTATCGGGAAGACTTTCGACACAAGGCACCACCTGCCGATCCTCTTTCTTGGTCTTGGTCCTAGTTACACCGTCACACCGAGATTTTTCCACACTGCACAGTCCGCTATTCCGTCCCGCAAGAACCTGGGCTCCGATACCACATGTTGGGACTGCGCGTGCTTTCATCCCAACCCCGCATTAGTATGATATTGTCCGCTCTGGGTCAAGCCCTCACGGATTTGTTTTTGGGCACCTCCCAAAAGGCCTCATACTAATGGGGTTGGGTGAACCTATATATTTTGGCCTATTTTTTCTTCTCCCTCCGGTGTGGGACTTGGAGGAATTCCCAACAAACCTCCCCTCAACCAAGGACCACACAATTTCCGACCTCCCCTCCAGCGGTAATCCATTTTTCCTTGTTATCTGCTAACCATCTTGCACCGCCGCACACTCTTTGCGGGACACGCCGCCCGACCTCCTATCGGGAAGACTTTCGACACAAGGCACCACCTGCCGATCCTCTTTCTTGGTCTTGGTCCTAGTTACACCGTCACACCGAGATTTTTCCACACTGCACAGTCCGCTATTCCCGCCCGCAAGAACCTGGGCTCTGATACCACATGTTGGGACTGCGCGTGCCCTCATTCCAACCCCGCATTAGTATGATATTGTCCGCTCTGGGCCAAGCCCTCACTGCACAGTCCGCTACTCCCGCCCGCAAGAAGTAGGGCTCCGATACCACATGTTCGGACTGCGCGGCCCCCCTCCAGCGGTAATCCATTTTTCCTTTTTATCTGCTAACCATCTTGCACCGCCGCACACTCTTTGCGGGACACGCCGCCCGACCTCCTATCGGGAAGACTTTCGACGCAAGGCTCGAACCGCAGATCTTTCCTTCGCTGGGCTACACCATTTGATCCGCCAAATCATCTTGTACCGCCGTGACTATAATTTCACGGGACGCGCCACCCGACCTCCTCTCGTCGGGAAGACTTTCGACACAAGGCACCACCTGCCGATCCTCTTTCTTGGTCTTGGTCCTAGTTACACCGTCACACTGAGATTTTTCCACACTGCACAGTCCGCTATTCCCGCCCGCAAGAACCTGGGCTCCGATTCCACATGTTGGGACTGCGCGTGCCCTCATCCCAACCCCGCATTAGTATGATATTGTCCGCTCTGGGCCAAGCCCTCACTGCACAGTCCGCTACTCCCGCCCGCAAGAAGCTGGGCTCCGATACCACATGTTGGGACTGCGCGTGCCATCATCCCAACCCCGCATTAGTATGATATTGTCCGCTCTGGGCCAAGCCCTCACAGATTTGTTTTTGGGCACCTCCCAAAAGGCCTCATACTAATGGGGTTGGATGAACATATATATTTTGGTCCATTTTCCTTCTCCCTCCGGTGTGGGACTTGGAGGAATCACCAACACCCTAGCATGGTCGTTTTTTTAAAACAAAGAGCGAGGTGGACAACATTGCTACTTTTCATATTTTTATTTTTATTTTTAATAACATTGAAACATAAAACATCTTTCCATATTAACTCTAATTTTTGAAGCTTAATTAGCGGCCACCTATTCCTCCACTAATAAAAGTAGGAATTAGCGAAAAATGATTTACCCGGTTATACATCATAATTAACAGTGAAAAAAAAGAAAAATTAATAATGAAACTGGGGATATACCCGCCACTTTTTTTTCAAATACAGAAATAGATGGATTTTTCCCCCAATTCCATTACGAGCACTATATTTTATTTTAAAAAGTCATGAGGAGATTATAAAAATATGAGTACTATATTTTATTTTAAAAAATGTCACAATGAAAAATTAAATACTTTAATAAAAATAATTAGAAGTCAGATATAACATTTTCAAAATAAATCTAGTGCTCCTTAGTTTTTATTATCATTAAAATGTGAAATGATTTGTGAAATAATGACCACTTTTTAAATTTTGCTCAATTCCTAATGCGCATGCAAATGCTACTGCTTATCAAATACTCCCTCCGTTTCTTAAAACCCTTCATCTTTCATTTTTTTTGTTTTTCTTAAAACACTTCCCCTTTCTATTAAAAAACCAATTTTACCCCTACTTTTTCATACCCTATCTATCACATCATCCTTTTTCACTAACAACTAAACTATCACATCTTACTTTTACCCATCACATCAAGGACAAAATTGAAAAGTCAACTACAATTTAATACTTTCTTATTTTCCCCCAAAGTCAAAAGAGGAATTCTTTCGAGAAACGGAGGTAGTACATTCTAAAAATGACTTGAATGGAGCTAAAAGAAAGGGAAAATGAGAAAGAGCGTGGGGCATACCATCTTCAAACTCTCATTCTCTAACGCAAGGTCAGCTGCTTTTTTTGCCAACGCCTCATATGTTGCCTACGTACACAAGATATACACTAAATTGAAGAATGTAAAAAACAAACACGCGCACAATCTCGACAACAATTTTCACTAGTTAATTACCTGCCTGCGTCGGATAGTTTGCCGAGCTGATTCTCTGTTCGCCAGAACTCGACGCAACCTTCTTGCTTCCCTCTCCCCCTAAACATGCATGCAACAACATTTTTAATAATTCAATAAAATATAAGATCAAAAACTTTACGTAATTCTAGCATTAAAGTAACCAAAAGCTTAAGTTTATAGTGGTAGAAAATTGGCACACGCTCCTCATGCACATGTGATACATGTCAAGGAACCAATTCAACCAAAAGCTCAAGCTTGTGGTTGTGGCCCAGGAACAGTTATTTATATACTCCCTCCGTCCCATGAAACATGGAACTTTTACTTTTTAGAAGGGAGTTAAGGGGAGTGTATTTTGGTATTGAATTTCCAAAAATGTCCTTTGATGTGATGGGTAAAAGTATGATTTGATGGATAGATTATTAGTAAAAAAAGGTATGATGTGATAGTTAGGGTATGAAAAAGTAAGGGGTAAAAGTGACTTTTTGATAGAAATGAGAAGTGTTTTGTGAGACGAATAAAAAAAGAAAGGAGAAAGGTTTCATGGGACGGAGGGAGTACTAACACGCCCCCTCACGTGCAGGTGTAGTCTTTTTTCGAGCCTTGCACGTGAAACCTAAATTTTTTTAAACTGGGTGGCGCTGAGTTTTGAACCCTTGACCTCTTAGTCAACGAGGCTCCGATACCATGTCAAGGAACCAATTCAACCAAAAGCTCAAGCTTGTGGTTGTGACCCAGGAACAGTTATTTATATTCTAACAATACACAACTACATGCTTAAAATAATTAGTATTGTTTCATTGCATATTTCCATTAGTTAAACAATTTTGTACCTCTGTCAAAATCGGTTTGGATTTACAGGCACCAATTATTGAGGAATAATCCACATCGCAGCATAAGAGCCTTGAGCTAATTTGGGACTTCTTTCTGAACCCCAAAGCATTCGGCAATAACGAAATTTCTTCTACTTTCTTCCGGTGAGGAACACAAGTCCCACGGTTTTGATGCTACAAAAATTCAGCTAACTTAAGATTTTATTCCATGCATAATCAAATATAGGACAAATAAAACAAGAGTAGAGTTATGTTTATTAACTGAAAGAGAGCCGAGAAACAAGTCAAGCGAAGGCTCAGACGCTTCAGAATCGGTTGAAGAGCGGCTTCCAGAAACAGGAGAATGGGCTAAGCCGACCAACGCCTTAGCTGCCACCATTTCATTATCATTATCTTCGTTGTATCGAAATTGTTGAAGGGTCCTCTCAAAGGCCATTGTTGAACTCGGTAGTATAGATCTGATAGAGGGGAAAGATTTGAGATTTGGATGAAAGGGGCTTTATATATATTAGGTCTCCTCCCTTCCTACGTGCCAAAATGTTCTTCTCATACACTATCTTCATATAACTATTTACACAGTCAAGTTTAATTCACTTTTTATTTGTGTTACTTATTTCATAATATAATATATAGCCATGATGTTATATCTTGTTTTGTTAAACCTTTCATGTTATTTTAAGATATAAAAATATTATATATAAACTTGAGTATTATAATTATAAAAATTTAATTAAAATAAATTCACTCAAACGTCAAAGTAAAGTAAGAGAAGTATTTCCCTAAGAGGGACTAATAATTCTTTTTCACAGCCAAAATAATGAACTTTAACCGAGTCTAGTTGCTAATATGCGATGAAGCATGTTCATGTCATCGTGCGATGTGTGAAGTCATGCATGCATCCTTATCATTTACGCACAAGTCTATCCACCACGTGCTTGTTTCTCATAATGCCTTACTCTTTCGCAATTTTACTATCCGTCCTCCAAGAAAAGAGAAAAAGGCCATGAATATCCTCAAACCTATTGGCCAAATAAATTTTTTCTCGAATTACTTATCTCATTTCACTGCCTATAAAATTTGTATTTTGATCTAATTATGCCTAATTCAAAGAATCTAAAATGTAAAGTGAAAGGAATGAAATGATTTGTAAAACTATTGTGCATTGATTTAGTGGAAAAAATGAATCATTCCTTGTTGAGAATATCACTATATATATACAAGTTTGGATAATTAAAGAAGCATGAACACCTCATGTTCTAGGGTCTCTACATCGCGTGCTCATCCCGCCTGCCCTCTAGTACTAAAAGAGTTAAATGACGAGATATGCTTCAACTCGTAAGGGACACAACAAGCTTGCAGTGCTTCGTGTTTTTCTTTAATTTGTTTTATTTTTCCTTCTTTGTACATTTTTTTTTGTTTTTTTGGTTTTTTTGTTTAGTTTTTTAGTTGCTTCTCTTTTTTTTTTGTTTAGTTTTTTTCCGTAGGGTATATTTTCTTTTATTATTTTTTTTTTGTTTTTTATTATTTGTATTTAGTTTTTTAGAAGTATTTTATTTAAGAGATGTTTATAAATTTATTTAATTTCTTTATATAAAAATAGATAGAATTTAATTTTAATAAAAATATTGTAATTTGAATAAAAATATGATTTAAGAGATTGTCTTTTTTGGTGCAATAATTTCTTAAAATATAAAAAAGGAAAAAATTTAATAACGAAAAAAAATTAATAAAGAAAATATAATAATATTAAAGAAATAAATTTGTATTCATTTGTATTATTATTTTATAAATGATATCATTTATATTGAATAAAAAATAAAACTATTTATAAAAAATAAAAGTGTAATTATTGCAATGATGATGAGGCATTATAGGTGTGAAGTGAGAGTGAGATAGTGAACACAGTCAGTAGTCACTGCATATGGCTAATATCATGCTGATCGAGGGGCTGCTGATTTGGAGTGAGTGATGGTGAAACATTACAGATAGCGGTACATATACTCTCTCCGCCCAACAATTTCTTTTCCACTTTCCATTCTGGAAAGCACAAATTTTTTCCATGAAAGTACATATTCTTTCATCTTGATTACAAGCTTTCTTCTTCAAATAAATAGATACGAAGTTGCTCTTCATTTTTGTTGAGAAACGAAGCCTTATGATTTATTAACATCTTCGGGTAAGTCGATCTATGTACAGATATGCCTATCATGTTAGAATTGGCATTCCCAGCCAAATGTTTTATTTTGTTCCAGTAAGCATGTACGGAGTAGAATTTTTATTGTATGACAAAGAAATAATACAAAATGTAACAAAGTAAAGTGTTCTAAAAATATCAGTAAACGTTAGGTTAAAACTAAATTGAGCACAAAGAGGAAAAAAATGAAAAATTCACCAACATATGCAAAGAAAGTTGACATCCATCATTAAAAATACCAATAAAAGTTAAACTACCTTAACTCTGTTTTATGAAAATAAAAAACAAATCATATTATATATGTTTAAAATGTTACTTAATACTCCCTCCGTCCCTAAATAAACTTCTCATTTCGTAGGTTAAAATACTCGGTGTATTATTCATCATTAAGCTAAGTTTGTGACATGCCAAATATTAAATTGCTATAATTGAAACAAGGGTAGGGAAGAATTCAAGAATTATTTTACTAGGATTTGGAAGTTTATTTTGTGTACGACGAAGACGACGTACGACGTACCTGTGGATTCTCTGGAGCTGAAATGCTTAGACTTGCTGATGACGACGAAGAAAAGAGAAAATAGCTGTGCATAGGGACCGACCGTCGTAAGCAGAAATATATACTCCATCCAATAAAATGGATGATTATTTAAAAAAAAATTAAGAGACAGGCTGCTAATAAGATCCACGACAAAGTTTCGCTCAAAAGAGAGGCGGCGGCCGGCGCTGCATGGATGGCGGGGGACACGTAGCCGACACGTGGCGGAGGCGCAGTCGCTCCCTCCCTCCAGACCCTAACAAGTGTCCCTCTCTGCCACTGGCACGTGCATGTGTGGAACCCGCTCCGCTGGATGCGGTAATTTATATACTCCCGTGACCGCTGCCTCCCATTGGCCCTCTTTTTTCAAAGCCGGCCTTATACATGCATATACTCCCTCCCATAAACATTTTCTCCTGTTTCATAGTTCTTGAAAAAAATCTTTCTTATATCGACTAAAAAATTATTTTTATTGTTGATTTAGTAATTCAACTCATCCAGAATAGTTGTATACATGGAGTTTATATAGATGAGGATCCCTACATAAATTAGGATTCACCAAATATGTAAACTAACGTAAATAACAATTCTTCCATAACTAGACGTTTTGCCTTATATGTCTAACATCTCCCCTCAAGCTGAACGTCGTGAAACGAGAGGAAGCTTGTCAACCAATGCTGAGTAGCGTGGTGAGGAAAGAGCCTTTGTGAGAAGATCTGCCAGCTGCTCAATGGAAGGAACGTAAGAGACTGTCATTTTCTCTGCAATTACCTGTTCTCGTACAAAGTGACAATCAGTTCCGACATGTTTCATGCGCTTATGGAATACCGGACTCTTAGTCAGGCAGATGGTGGACTAGTTGTCGCAGAGGAGGTGTGGAGGAGGGAGCTTAATCTGTAAAATGTCAAACAAAAAAGTGAGCCACATCACCTCAGCTGCTGCGGCCGAGAGGGCTCTGTACTCGGCCTCGGTGGACGAGCGTGAGACACGACTTTGTTTTTTCGTACTCCAAGAGAGTATATTAGAACCAAAATATATCAAATAACCTGTAACAGAGCGTCCATCCGTCATATTGTTGGCCAAATCAGAATCAGAGTATGCATGGATGGTTTGTGGGCCACGCCAGAATATCAAACCATGATCAATGGTTCCTTTGACATAACGTAGGATGCGTTTCAAAGAATGAAAATCCTGCTCAGTAGGTGCATGCATCCTTTGACAAACATAATTTACAGCAAACTGAATGTCCGGGCGCGTATTTGTCAAATATTAGAGAGAGCCAACTAAACTGCGGAAGAAGGTGCGATTCTCGAATGGGCGGCTCACCCCCGCCTCGGGCTGCCGTACGTGCAGGGGTGTGGGGTCCAATTTGCAGTCTTCGACTCCTGCTTTATGGAGGAGTTCACGAGCATATTTTCCCTGAGATGGAAGCAGATGGCCCTGTTTGCGTGTCACCTCAAGCCCAAGAAAGTAATTAAGAGGGCCAAGATTCTTCATTTGAAATTCCTTTTGCATAGCTTGGATGAATGAAGAAATAAGAGATGAGGCACTCCCGGTGAAAATAATATCATCAACGTAGAGAAGAACAATGAGGACGCCGGAAGAAGAGTGCTTGACAAAGAAGCTTGTGTCATGTTCATTTTTTAAAAACCATATTCAACAAGGAACCCAGAGAGACGTTGGTACCAGGCCCTCGGTGCCTGCTTCAGACCATAAAGAGATTTCTTCACTTTGCACACATAATTAGGATACTGCAGATCGACGTACCCTAGAGGCTGCTTCATATAAATTTCATCAGGAATGACACCGTGAAGGAAAGCATTGGAGACATCCAATTGGTGAAAAGGCCAGTTTTGATTGACTGCTAGCGAAAGAACCACCCAAATAGTCTGCTGTTTGACCACGTGGCTAAAGGTCTTAGAGTAGTCCAAACCGTATTCTTGTGTATAGCCTTTGGCCACAAGTCGGGCCTTGTACCTGGAAATAGAACCATCAAAATTATGCTTAATTTTATAAATCCACTTACATCCGATAGGAACCCGATCTGAAGGTGCCAAAACAAGCTCCCATGTGTGATATCAATCAAGGCTTTATACTCGCCATCCATAGCCTGACACCAATAACTATTTTGGGGGGCATCTTTATAAGTAACAGGCTCGGTGGTGGGTGAGGAAGAGGTGAAGGAGATAGAGTAGAGTTTAGGGTTGAAGATGCCACTTCGTGCACGAATGGTCATTGGGTGCTGGATGGGTAGGGGAGGGGGAGAGGGAATAGGGGATGATTCAGGACTAGTCATGGTTGGGGAGAGGGTGCCAAAATGGACAGGTCTGGGAGGTGAGTGGGGCTGGGTAGGGTGGTCGGCTGTGAGAGGATGGGGCTTAGTGTTGGCGTCGGTAGTGTGGCTGGGTGGCGGGAGTTGG